GAGCATTGGCCGTCCTGCGCCGCGCCCGGCCCGTGCCTCCCTCCAGCGCCCGGCCTTGCCGCTCCCCCACGATGCTCGGCCCCGCGAGGGGACAGGACGCCCCCGGCCCTCACCCCTCCGCTGTCTCTCTCTCTCGCAGACGATGGAGTCGCAGATGGAGGAGTGGTACAAAGAGGCCGGGCAGCTCCAGGCGCAACTGGCCTCCCTGCCCCTGGAGCCGGCCAGCAAGGAGGCAGTGGACGAGAAGCAGAACGTGGTGGGGACGCGGATTGTCCGCCTCATCGAGCCCCTGAAAGAGAGGAGGAGGATCCTGCTGGCTTCCAAGGAGGTGCATCAGGTCTGCCATGACCTGGAGGACGAGATCGTAAGTCGGGGATGGGGGATTGTGCGGGCGGGGGGGGCGGGGGCAGCTTCCCATCCCCTTCCCCAGTTCCAGGAGCTGACCGGTGGCTCCCAGCAGGCAGGGACCCGGTTAGAGCCCCAGTCGCCGGAAAGGCCAGGGATGGAGTGGGCATCAGAGCGGCCCCACACCTGCGAGGTGGGGCCCTGTGGGGCTGGGCACTGGTGCATTTGGAGATCAGTGGAGCGCCATGGATTTGCACCAGCTGGGGGGCTGGCCCCGGGGACTCCAGTGGAGTGACACCGATTGACACCGGGGGGGGGATCTTGTTATGCTTATAAGACGCACATGGGATCTTTTTCCAGGGAGAAGGCAATATGCCGCGTTTATTGAAAATACAACAGTTAGCACATGCCTTTAAACACAGACACACACACACACACACGTCAATCTAGGCTTTGCAGGATGGAACCAGAGTCTTGTGGCAAAACTCCCCAGCTTTAGGCGTGTAAATTCCCACGTTTGGCTATGGATTTTACAATGTCATTCTGGGATCGTTGGTCCTTACGTGGGGTTAATCTTGGGGTTTTCTTCTTTGTTGTCTCGCCTTCGGGGGTGTCTGCTGCTAACTCGTTTAGCATCAGCTACAATGGATGTTTTCTGATTGTTTCCTGCTGTCTCTCCAAGTCTCTCACTTCTTGCCCATCTGGACATTTGGGATGGCTTTAACCATGCACACGTCCTTTCCTCACCCCGACAATTGTCCAGAGGATTTCAGACAGGAGTCCATTTTCGAAAGGGTTCTATGGTTACTAAAGGGATTACAAAAGAACATTACACAACTTCGTTTGCAATGCAGAGAAGAAACAAGACCTTCTAGCAAACACTAATGAAAACTTCTCCTCAAACCAAAGGGGACCAGAATCAGCCATAAGGACTGTTCTGGTCCGTTCCTGCCTTAACGTCAGTTCAGACACAGGCAGCCTGGCTGATGGGTTTTTTCTAAGGACCCAGGGTCGATCCTTCCTGCTGTCCAGTCAGGGTGGCCGGCAGAATACAATCAAATCCTATCCTACAGCAATACACTGAATACATGCTACAGTCTTATCTTCTTCTTCTTTACAGACAACGAGGATCCTTGGGGCATCTTAGAGACTAACACATTTATTTGGGCATAAGCTTTCACGGGCTAGAACCCACTTCATCGCATGAAAGATTCTTTATCCTTCATTCTAAATGATACAGAATACAAACAATAAATCCTACTACTACAGGGTGGCCCAAGTGACTCCAGTGGAGTGACCCCGATTCACACCAGGCGGGCGGGCGGGTTCTGGTGCCCAGGGGCTGATCCAGGCGCTGCCGTTCCCTCGCGTTTGCTTTATTCACACTGTGCCCCGGCCTGGGCCCAGCCCTCGGTTTTCATGCCACGGCTCCTCTGCTCTGTCCCGTCTCCCTCCAGAGCTGGGTCCAGGACCGGCTGCCGCTCGCCACCTTGCGAGATCACGGGAGCAATCTGCAGGCAGTGCAGCACTTCATCAAGAAGAACCAGGTAGGCTTGGTCCTCTCCCAGCGCTGGGGTCCTGCAGCATCGCAGGCTGGGCACCCGGATGCCTGGGTTCTCTTCCCGGCTCTGGGAGGGGAGTGGGGGCTGGTGGTTAGAGCGTGGGGGCCAGCTGGGAGCCAGGACTCCTGGGTTCTGTGCCTGGCTCTGGGAGGAGAGGGGGGGTTAGTGGCCCGGCCCTGGGGGGCTGGGTGCCAGCCCCCCCCCCCCCTTGCTGGGGGCGGTTACAGGGCCCAGTCCCTGTCTGCAGTGTGCTGGGGGGCCCCGGCTGGCAGAGCCCCATGCTGCCGAGAACCCCGCCCCCCATATGTGTGACTGGGGACCGCTAACCCTGCCCCCCACGCCCCCCACCAGAACCTGCGGCGTGAGCTGCAGGTGCACCAGCCCCGGGTGGACGAGGTGCTGGAGCGGGCGGGCGCCCTCGCCTCCATCAAGAGCCCCGAGGTGGACGGGGTGCGGCTGCTGCTGGAGAAGCTGCGGGAGCTGTGGGGGGCGCTGGGGGAGCAGACGGAGCAGCGCCAGCACCTGCTGGACGCCACCTACCAGGTGGAGCAGTATTACTTCGACGTGGGCGAGGTGGAGGCCTGGCTCGGCGAGCAGGAGCTGCTGCTGATGAACGAGGAGAAGGGCAAGGTGAGGGCGGCGCCGGGGGCTGTGCTGGGACGGGGCGGGGCCAGCAGGGGGCGCTGTGAGACAGGGGGCTCAGCAGGGGGCGCTGTCCCCTGACAGCAGGGCTGGCCCCAGGGCGGCGCTAGGGGGCAGGGCGGGGCCAACAGGGGGCGCTGTGGGGCAGGGGGCTCAGCAGGGGGCGCTCTCCCCTGGCAGGCAGGGCGGCGCTAGGGGGTGCTGTGGGGCAGGGAGCGGGATGGGGGGCTCAGCAGGGGGTGCTCTCCCCTCAGGGCCGGCTCCAGGCACCAGCCGAGCGGCGCGGAGCCCTCCCGGCAGGCGGCACGGCGGGAGGGGCCGCGTGGCAGCGCCCCGCTGAAGCCCTGGCCGCCCCCCTTCTCTCTCTCCCCGCTCCCGACGGGGCAGCCAGAAAGCCAGAGCCGGCCCTGTCTCCCCTGGGCTGTTTGGCGCCCCAGGAGCGGGAGCCGGGGGCTGGCGGTGCCCTGGCACGGTGGACAGGCCCCGGGCTCGGCTCCCGCCGCTAACACCCGTTGCCTTCCCCGCCCCAGGACGAGCAGAGCACCCTGCAGCTGCTGAAGAAGCACCTGCTGCTGGAGCAGAGCATTGAGAACTACGAGCAGACCATCGCCCAGCTGTCCCGCCAGTGCCGCGCCCTGCTGGAGCTGGGCCACCCCGACAGGTAGGTGGGCGCCCGCCCCGCCCCGCCCCCGCCCCCCGGCCCGCCGGGCGCGGTTCTCTGCACTGACCAGGGTGTGTCCTTGCCCAGCGAACAGATAAGTAGGCGGCAGTCTCAGGCTGACCGGCTCTACGTGTCTCTGAAGGACCTGGTGGAGGAGCGCAAGGCCGGGCTGGAGCAGCAGTACTGGCTCTACCAGCTCAGCCGCGAGGTGGACGACCTGGAGCACTGGATCGCCGAGAAGGAGGTGGTGGCCGGGTCGCCGGAGCTGGGCCAGGACTTCGAGCACGTCACGGTGAGCGAGGCGCCCGCGGACGGGCGCTGGGGACGGCTCGGTCGGATCCGCGCTGCGCCTTGGGCCCTGCCCAGCGCCCCTCGGGCTCATGCATCTCTGCGCCCCCAGGGCACATGCCCCTCTGCGCCCCCAGGGCTCAGGCCCCTGCCCCAGCGCCCCCAGGGCACACGCCCCTGCCCCAGCGCCCCCAGGGCTCACGCCCCCCTGCGGCCCCAGGGCACATGCCTCCCAGACTGGGCTGACTGTGCCCCATGCCCCCTGGGCCGGGTTCCCTGTGCCCGGCTGGGTGCTGTGTCTGTGCCGCGCCTCGTACCCGTCCCACGGTCTCTGTGCCACGTGCTGTTCTCCACCTCCCCCGGCCAGGGGCTGCTTCCTGTGCCATGGCCCACGCTCCGTGCTATGGTCTGTGTCTCGTGTGCTCACCACCCCACCCCACCCCACCCCAGCTACTGCAGGAGAAGTTCACGGCGTTCGCCAGCGAGACGGGCAGCGTGGGGAACGAGCGGCTCTCGGCCGTGAACCAAATGGTGGACGAGCTGATCGACTACGGGCACGTGGACGCGGCCACCATCGCGGAGTGGAAGGACGGGGTGAACGAGGCCTGGGCCGACCTGCTGGAGCTGATGGAGACGCGGGCCCAGATGCTGGCTGCCTCCCACGAGCTGCACAAGTTCTTCAGCGACTGCAAGGACCTGCTGGCCCAGATCGAGGAGAAGAAGCAGCGGCTGCCGGAGGTGGCGGCCCGCGAGTCCCGCAGCTCCGCCGGGGCCCTGCAGCGGGTGCTCAGCTCCTTCGAGCACGACGTGCAGGTGCTGGTGAGCCAGGTGAGGGGGCTTTGGGGGGTAACCAGCCCCG